GTGACCAACACGCCAGGCAATGCCAGGCTGGGATTAAAACACATGTGGTCAACATGCCAGGCAATGCCAAGCTGGGATTAAATACTCTTTATGTGAATTTCTTTGTTTTAAAAAGATTTCTTTCTGTTTTATGTGTATGAATGTTTGCCTGCATGAATGCATGTGCACTATGTGTTTTTGCAGTTCCTGCAGAGGATGGAAGAGGCAGTCAGAGCCCTTTGGTCTGAAATTACAGACAGTTGTGAGCCTCTGACATCTGGGAACTGAACCTGGGTCCTTGGGAAGAACACTCAGTTGGGAGGAAGAGAGTGGGTAGATATGATAAAAAGTACCTTATATGTGTGTGTGTGTGTGTGTGTATGAAATTCTCATAGCATAAATAAAACAAAAATAATGAAATACCTTCTCATTAGATGTGTGTTACTCTTTAAAACTACATTAGTGTATTCACAGAAACAATAAAATGATAACATGTACAAGAATGAATTCTTATACACTAAAAACATACTTAGAACCAACTGACAACATAATATAATTAAGTTTTCAAAGTCCCATGTGAGGCTCCATGCACCACTGCGGTTGTTGCAGGAGTCAGGCTCCATGCACCATGCGGGTGTGTCAGGAGTCAGGCTCCATGCACTACTGTGAGTGTGTCAGGACTCAGGCTCCATGCACCATGCGGATGTGTCAGGAGTCAAGACTTCAGGAGCAGCTCATGCAGATCACCAACTTATTAAAAGTTTTCTGAAGTTTGGGTGAAAATGAGCAACACGACCAACACACTTCTCTGAGAACAAACTTCATGTCTTACTTATTTTTAAATATAATTCTTAGCAGCGGCCCAGTGTGAAAACTGACTTTTTTCTTTAGTTTGAAAAAAAATTGAAGACATATAGGCAAATTTTGTGCTAGTGAAATTTATATGAACATACACAAGAGCTGACAGGGCTTCCGTAGGTTGCCAGGATGCCTCAGTTTACCTAGTCCTGGGATTACAGGAACCCTAATCTCCTGAAGGTTTTCAATACTTAAAACTGCTTTCAATCCACTTTCAATATGCAAATTGCTTCTTTGCAAGTTGCTACCTTAACATTAGACATGTGTTTAAATTATGTTTTCAAGTCTGGAAGAAAGGTAAAATAATTTCACAGACCTTGCATCCTTAGTGTATTCCAGCATTACAGAGTGAAGGTCACCACACGAAGAGGCTTCACAACCCACCACAATCTAAAACAAACAGAAGCAATCAATATACAAGCGAGACTAAATGATATCCAATGTGACTAATCAGAAATCCTATTTCTCGACCTCAGGACTCTAATGGGCAATCAAATATTCAGAGAAAGTTTCACAAGCAGCCTGACGGTGCATGAAGAATTCATTCTTAGAGCTGTTAAGACATGCAGCTTTCAAAGAAGCTGAGCATTAAGGATTTTAAGGTATTATCTCTACTAATTTAACTAATAAATCATATTACATAAATTTAGATAAGCTAAATTGGCTAAAGATATTATGAAGAGAATTTATGGAAAGAAATTGAAAGTGTCTAATGCAAAACACGCCCACTGACATCTTAACTTCTTAGATGCTGCTCTTAAGTTTTCATCTGGAAGTGAAAAACAACAAATTTAATTACTTTAATATCCATTCTTGTTGCTGTCTCTCCTTTTCAGTATGTTCAGCAATTAAATGGTGGAGTCATTAATAATGCATGAACGCTAGAAAATTTGGTGACTCAATTATAAGTTCTAATAGTTGATTTAATCAACAAGTCCTTTTTTTTTTTACTACTGGTATTAGGGAAGTTAGTGCTAACATTTCAGGCATAATACTCATAAATCAGACAATTACAATTCAAGGTTGGAATAAGACGCGTAGTCCAGTAATAGTAGCGGGAATCGGAAAGACACACACATAAAAGACAGTTGGTCAGATGGATTGGAAAATAATCCATCTGTTAGGTGCCTGTGAGCTGACCCTGAAGCATCTGAGGGTAGAGGTGGCAGAGAGCTGTTTAGGTAGAATCCAGAGCTCTGGGAACAAGACCGGATGCAAGTACAAAGGGGATGGAATCCTGGGGGAGATGCTTGAATGCCGAGCTGAGTTCTGCTCAGATAAACAAGCGTTTGGTCTTCACTTTCTAAAAACAGAGAGCCACTGGAGGCCTGAGGAGCGGAACGATGGACCAAGAGCCATGCTACACAAAGCTAATCTGACTCTGACATCAAAGTTAGGGATGGATGGAGAGAGATGGGGGTCAGATGGGAACTTGGCGGATATGAATGGGCGTAACAGTGCAGAGAAGATTCGTTGGGATGGGAGAAAAAAAACAGGGATTAGACGGCACAGGCAGTGAGGGGTGCTATGTGCAAAGTGAAAATTAAGACAATTTAGGACATTAAAGCTATTTAGCGGCGCAAGGCGGTGTCGTCAACAGAGAAGGGGAAATCAGAAAGAGGGGGCGGTGTCAGAGTGGAGATGGTGACTTCACCATGACACACGCTAAATCGAAGGGTCCATGTGTGAGTCGGAAATGTACAGAAACGGCTGGTGATATAGCTCAGGAGGTAACAGGCCCTGGAGCTAAGCCCAATGACCTGAATTTGACCCCTGGGGTCCACATGGTGGGGGAGAGAACTGATTCTTTCACGTTGTCTTTTGGCCTCCACATGGGCACCATGGCACGCATGTGCCATACACAGACACAGACACACACCCCAGAGAAGTAGATGAATAGCGTCACTTAAAAGGCTACTATAAAACCGAGTTGTTAGCGAGCCAGCCAAGGTTAGAGATCCAGATTTGAGACTTGTGTTTCCAGATAGGTTCCAAGCCAGAAGGTTGCATGAAATTCTCAGTGATCAAAGGCAGGGGAGAACAGGGCTCTGAGATGCACTGAGAAATGCCGATCTTGGAGGTGGAGGGAAGTAGAAGCCAAGGAGATAAAAGAACAGAACAAGGAGAGAGCTTCTCCCCAGCTGCAGAGGGTGAGGACAGTCTTGGAGGGCAGCGGTGGGGACAGACTCGGGTAGGCAGAGTCCATGGTAACCTAAATTTCAGGGGACAGATTCACTTTCATTAAAAAATTATTTTACTTGTACGTGTATGCATGGGATGGGGCAGGGAGCATATGCATGTGATTCCAGGTGCCCGTGGAAGCCAGAGATCAGATCCCCTGGAGCTGGAGTTGCAGGGGATGTGAGCTGCCCTGACATGGGTGCTGGGAACTACATTTAGGTCTTCGAGAAGAGCAGCAAGCATTCCTAACTGCTGAACCACCTATCCATTCCCCTTTTATTTTAAATAAATTGATTTTTTTGAAGAAAGAAAATTACAGAGCCCTTCGTCTCTGAGTTCCCACAACCATCCAAGGAGGACACAGTGTTGACCAGAGAGGGACCAGGAGAGGAGAACTTTGACTCTTAAAGGGCATGGCTTGGAAGCTGGTGTGGAATGACACCAGAGATGACCTTGAGGTATGATTCTTCACGTCACAGAACATTTTCTTAGGGCGTGGTAGCATTGGGAGAGCTGGTTCATCTCTAAGGGGAGTCCAACACAGAGCCAAAAATAAGCAGATTTAATTTCTGCTAAGAAGGCTGCATTGCCCTGGCTTTAATCATCCTCATGTTTCCTAATTGCTCTCCAATGTCTTTCTTTCTAACCTATTCAGTATAAAATACTAAAAAATTCTCTAGTTCTTTGAGACTTTGGGATCGGCAACTGGGCTAATGTACAGGTTTGTGAAATTGGAGATGAAGAAATATCGAAAAATTAACTGAAAAAGAATCACTGGAGAAGCAAATGGTTTAACAAGGTAGCAGGGAAGAGGAGCAGGGGGTGACGGGAGAGTCAGAGAGGGCTCCAGGCGTCTATTTAAGCTTTTCACTTTGGCAGATGAATGTATGAGCTACAACACAGCTATATTTCTTGCTATATCTTAACACCACAGATTTTTATCTACGCTCAAATAACCATACTTGAAGAAAGGCCTTTGTACAACGTTACCGCAGTCACAGTATCTTTTAATGGTCGAAATCAATCATTTGCAGTTGTCAGAACAAATCCCTCTCCCACAGCCCACATAGGAGTTGCTGCTTTCTGTATCATTTTCCCTTACTTTAAATTGCATCATGTATCCCGGCTGGATGATGAGCTCGCGGGAGGAGAGAGCATTGTGGGTCTTGTCCTTCTTTTTGTTCGGCCAGTAGAGATGGAAGGACGGGTTGCCACAGAAGCCTGCTGTCCTTACTGCGTTAGGGTAAAAACTCCAATTTTCTTCATGGGAAGATCCTTCTGTTAAATAAGTGGGAAGCAATGCTGTGTGTTATTTTTCTCCAGCTGAGATGCTTAATGTTAAATTACTTTTGCGTTTAATACTGAGGGTGATTATTTATTTTATCTAACTGACTACTATATAAATTCTAGGTGAGAGTCAAGGTCAGAGCAAAACTCCTGAAGGCTGCCAGCATGACCCCTTTGCTATAAAATGGTAATTGTGTTTCTGAGTAGACTTTCTATTTCCTTCTAGGCATCTGCTGTTAAAAATTTAAAAAATGCAACATGAGAGAGAAAGACATCATGCAACGGAGTTCACATGGAGGAGTTTTTATTAGGGGGAAGGGAACAGAAAGGAGGGAAGGGGAGAGGGGAGACCGGCCTCTGGGACCAGGTGCAGAAGAGGAGAAGAGGAGAGGAGAGGATTGGAGAGGAGAGAAGAAAAGAGGAGAGGAGGGCAGGGGAGGAGAGGGGAGGAGACAGGAAGAGAGGTAGAAGATAGAGACCCGCAGAGAAGCAGAGAGAGAGAGAGAGAGAGAGAGAGAGAGAGAGAGAGAGAGAGAGAGAGAGA